TTCTCGCAATCAAGTGATAAGTTTCAAGTATTTGGACAAATTTTTGGAGCAAATTTCAAGTTTCAAATTAATTCTTCAAGTATTTGGAGCAATATTTTGGGCAATTTCTTCAAGTTTCAATATTTAATCACGGTGCACTCGTTCCATCTCCTAATTTTAATATATATTTTTTGCGCATTATTTTAGTGCTTAATTTTTGTGTTTACTTTATGTGTTCTATTTTCGTATTTCATTTGTGTTTATAATTTTTGTGTTAACTTTTTTAATTTAATTTCGTATTTAAATTATGGCACCTAAAAATATATTTGGCGTATTTAAAAAAACTAGTAAAAAAAAATAGTAAAGGTGAAAGTAGTAGTAATCCTAATCCTAGTCCTAATCCTAGCCCTTCTCCTGTAAGTAGAAAACATATAGATGAAATGACTCATGTTGATGAAACTTCATTTTCCCAACCCCCCTCCCCCGCATGTTATAATATTAATTTCGGAGAACAACTAGACCATGAAACTTTACAAAGACAATTTGGCAATGATATTTTTATTGAGGATGAAGAAAATGAGGAAGAAGAATTAGATGAAATACCCACTAGTCCCGCAACACAAGCTCCAACTCAGAGTCAATCTCGGTCCGGAGCTTTACCTCCTGTAAGGGGTAAGCCTAAGGGTGAACGTCCCAAAACATCACTTGTATGGAAAATTTTAAACATGATAAAGTCAATCAACGTGCTACATGTGAAATATGTAAGCAACGATTTGCGCACACCAAAAATGGTGGGACGGGGAATTTATCTAGGCACTTAGGTAGGGACCACAAAGCTTTATGGATACAAGCTAAAATAGAAGCCGGACAAATACCGGATCCTAGCACCGGTACTAGCACTCCTAGTGGATCTGGCGGGGGTTCTAATTTTTTACAACAACAGCTTGACCCTGCTTCTGGTACGATTTTACGCCCATATAACAAAGATAGAGATCGTGAGAACTTAGCAAAAATGGTAGCTGTATGTGGCTTACCTTTTACCTTTCCTTCTCACCCTGCTTTTGTTCATTATATANACTTTTGTGCATTATATACACGAAACTTATAATCCTGCTTTTCAAGGTTTTCCTAAAACTACAGTTAGAAATGATGTTTTTAAATTTCAAACCGAATATCTTCAGTATATTCGTTGTGTATTTTTTCACTTAGATTGTAAAGTGTCTATCACATCTGATATAGGTCGTAGTCCTAATGGTTGTGATTATTTAACTGTTACAAGTCATTGGATTGATCATCACTTGAACATGCAAAAACGTATTATTGGTTATAAATTTGTTGATTCAAAACACACTGGAGCATATATTGCAACTACTGTTCTATAAATACTTAATTTTTATGGACTTATTGATAAAGTTTTAACTATCACGTTAGATAATGCTTCTGCTAACACAACTGCAGCAATTAGCTTAAGAACTAGACTTTGTCCAATTAATCCGTCAATTTTTCATGTTAGATGTGCATGCCATATTTTTAACTTGGTTGTAAAAGATGGTATTAATTTATTTTTTGATACTTGTAGTAAAGTTCAACATGCTTGCGACTATATTTTTCGGACTAATAAAGTGAGTAGAATTCGTGAATTTGCTCAACAATATGCTAGTGCTAACCTTCCATATAGAAAAGTTCCAAAAGATATTTGTACTAGGTGGAATTCTACTTATGAAATACTTAAAGTTGCTTATGATTATCGGGTGCCTATACAAAAGGTATTTAATATGCATAATGGTATCCCCGCTGATCAAATTTTTGATTCTGATTGGGATCAGATCAAATTTTTGATTCTTATTGGGATCAGATCAAAGAGCTTACTAAATTTTTAGAAAAATTTTATTATGCTACAAAATAATTTTCTGGTATATATTATCCTACTATTACACAAATATTATGGTATATTTGTGGAATTTTTGTTGTATTTGATAAGTATAAAATTAATCCAATTTATGCACCGGCCATTAATGAAATGATTACAAAATTTAAAAAATATTTTTTCCCTATTCCCCAAGCTTTTTTAAATTTTTATTATACTTAACCCATCTTTAAAATTAAGAGGTGCAAAGGGACTTGTTCGTAAAATTTATGAGAATTTAGCAATTCAAGAAAATGAACAACCATCTCTCGAAGAATGCCAAGCTAACATATATTCTTATGTTAGATCAATGTTTGATAAATATAAATCTATGGAAACAACAGGTGGTGAAACTGCTCCTTCTACTTCTAAGTCTAGAGTAGAAGTTCTATGGGAAGATATGGATAATATAACAGGTTTTGATTCCTTTATTGATGATGAACTTGATTCTTATCTTAATCAAGGATTAGAAAGTATTAAAGACGAAGAAGGCAACGAACAACTTTTGGCATGGTGGAGGGAGCGTGGCAAGGCTTTTCCAATACTTTCAATAATGGCCCGAGATATCCTTGCTATTCAAGCATCATCAGTAGCATCAGAGAGTGCTTTTAGCGCGGCAAGATTTCAAATCGGAGGATAGCCTAGAGATTTCCGTATTATTCAGAGAATGGATTAATTCAGAAAGAAGAAATCTTGGTTTTGAAAAATTAACCACTAGGGAAGAAGAAGAATACAATGAGATACTTAGCACTGGGAGCGATGACGGCATGGAACTCATGGAACATCTTAACATTGCCAATTCCAGAATAATGTCCGAGAGAAATTATAGATAAGTTACAACGAAGTTATATAGGAGCTTACAAATATTAGTATGATAATTTGTTATTGGCTACTAAGAGGTCTAGTTCAAACAGAACCCTTCCTAGAAGGTGACTGCGTAGATTAGATGCTCTTCAAAAGAGTTATATTTGTATGTGAGATTTGAAAGTTCTATTAATAAAATAAAAGGCTCTAACGTTGAATTTGTTTTATGAATTGTCTTACACTCTTACTTAGTTACTTAATGGATTAAAATTATATTAAATAAATTATAACTCTATTATATATTTATAATTGCTAGAATATTTTATTACAAGTCTTTTGTTTTAATATTTTATAATTCTTTACTTAGTTTCCTAATTTTCGTTTAATTTTTAAATTTATTAAATAAGTCAAAAAACTAGATGTTGTAAATTTTAAAAACTTAGTCATTGTCAAAAGAATATCCGTTGCCAAACTCAATGCTTAAATAATATTTTTTTAAAAACGGCACTTAAGGCCCGTGAACCCGTCCCGTCTCGTCCCGTTCCGTCTCGTTTGTTAGCGGGACGGGATGGGCCTACCGTTTCGTCCCGTCCCGCCACTGTCCCGGCTAAATGTCATCCCGTTCCGTCCCGTTAATTTTGTCCCGTCCCGTCGGACAGCCATAATTCCACTTCTTTTTTGCATGAAGCCAAGAAAAGAATATATGGTCAGCAACCGAAGGAAAAGTTAAAGGAGGAAAAATAACTAACTTATTCAAGTGTACGATGGATAAGCAAATTCTGGGATAAAAATTTAGTACTGCATTATCCTTTGTTTGGTTACTAATCGTTGGATAAGTTATACACAGGATGGAATACTTTATACTTGCCAGAGGGTAAAATAGTAATCGCAGGATAAAGTAGTAAAATTGACAATCCCAAAATTAATACAACATACCAAACAATCAATAATAAATAATACCAGGATAACTAATCCCAGCATAACTTTTGCATTCAAACCAAACAGCCCCTGCCCTGAGGATTTTCAGATTTATCTGAGACCTGTTCTGCCAAAAATAGTTCCAAAAGTTACTGAAGGGAACAAGGTAAAAAGCTCTGGCACTCAATTGCTGTTAGTAATCAGAACAGCAATTTTAGGCACATACAACAACAACATACCAAGTTTAGTTTCACAAGTAGGGTCTGAGTAGAGTAGAGTGTACGTAAAACTTACCCCTACCTTTGAGAAGGCAAAGAGGTTGTTTTAGGTAGACCCTCGGCTCAAAAAGGGTAAAGAGAAGGGGCTATAACAAGCAAACCAATCTGACAGCTGAAGCGAAGTTTAGGCACATAATTGAAGTTAAATCAGAAGATGCTTTCTATCTAATACCTCAAATCCTTCCAGCATATAAATTCACTAAAGCAAACAACTGGAAAAACAAAAGTAATGAGATATCGCCTCATCAAATAAAATACTTGAAAGTAAATACACCAGTAAGAAAAATGGAGAACTAGTTAGTGATGGTAATGTTAAAGAAGACAGCAATAAAATCAGTATTACTGCAATTTCTAGCTTGAGCCTTTATCTTTGGCTTCATTCGCAACAGCATCAGTTACTAAAGCCATTGGTCTTTCATCTATAACCTCATCGATTATTCCAAACTCCTTCGCCTCTTCAGGTGTCATGAAATAATCTCTATCCATATTCTTCTGAATTATTTCTATAGGTTGTCCCGTATGCTTTGCATATAAGTCATTCAAAGTATCCCATACCCGAACTATCTGTTTTGTGTGGATCGTCAAATCTTTAGCCTGCCCGCTATATCCACCGGAAGGCTGATGAATCATAACTGAAGCATTAGGGAGAGATCGTCTCTCACCCTTTGCACCCGCAGCTAAGAGAAGGGATCCCATTGAAGCTGCTTGACCTAGGCATATAGTATGAATTGGAGATCGGATATACTGCATTGTATCATATATCGCAAGACCTAGCAACAGCAAAAAGATAAACTCAGTTAGCGTTTTAAGATAACTATAGCAATGTCCTTAAAGAACAACTAAACCTCAAATTCTATTTTAGCTTCAAGTTCACTGCAACACCAATGCCAGACCTTTTTGTCAAGCTTTAATCACAGAACAAAAGCATCGCCACAGCACTCTGACCAAAGTACAGATCAAGCTATAAGCACATACACAGAACCAAGCATATTATCAACAAACATTGCATATGTAATATTAATGTCTAGTCCAAACTGGGCAAAAAGATGTAATGTTTAGGTCTTATTAGCACAATGATGCTTTCCTTTGATTGAAAAATGACGGCCATAAGTATAGTCCTTAGTGCCAATCTTTCGCCAAGGTAGTCCCACTAGTCATTATAGTAAGACCCAAGACATTTCCTATAATTTAAGATCTACTGCAGACCAACTATGCTGAGAGTTACCGCAGGCTGAGTAATATTAGGCATATTGGTCTCAAAGTCAATATACTGATTGCGCTTTGGAATCAAATCATGGATGAAACTGACTGCAGTGTTGTACTACTGCCTCAGTATCAGCAAGGCATGCATTCTACAGAAGAGAAATGAAGTCAAAATTGCAAAAGATTAAAAAACTACTCCGAGAATCTTTCTCCATAATCACATAAAACAAGCACTTGTTCTCTCTTGATTCACCAGAGGTATGAGAGAAAATTAAAACCCAAATATGCAAGTTTAAATTTTAACTCTCTTTAAATTGATAAATTGCCGAGGCCTGTGGCGTACAGTTCAAAACTCGGTGCGCAATGTGACTGTGCCTCTATCCTTCTGCCACTAAAATACTAGGCTTTTGCCTGTGGCAGGTTAGTTAAAACACTTGGAGATCGTTATCTTTCTCTCGTACTATCAGTTCCAACTGCCACAACAAATATGAAAGCAAACTTGAAGCAAATCATGATTAATTAAACCAAAATGGTACTCAAGGAAAGACAGATAAAAAGAAAGTGCTTTTTCTTGTTTATAAGGTCGAGAAATACTGTAAAATAAAGCAAAAGGGAAAAGTTAGAAACATACCCATCTAAGGAATGGGAACAAACACATAATATTGGAAAAAGGTATGAAATAAATGAGGATAGAATTGCATCCCAAAGAAATCAAACGAATAAGAGCAGCTGACTGAAACCCAAAGATTACAATCTCTCCCTTTGTCCTGATGCTTTATATCTATAAACAAGACCTCAGTCCCAAATTAGGTGGAGTAAGATACGAATTGTCTCTATCCATTCCATTCAATAGATTTCCATTTTATCTCAACACTAAATATCTCCATTTTAGGTTAAATTAGATAAGTTGTCGTTGTGTGACCGGGATATCACGGCATGGAAACAACCTCTAGCAGTTGCAGAAATGCAAGGTAAAACTGTTTACAATAGACCAAATAAGGTCCAGCCCTTACCCGGAGCCTGCGCATAGCAGGAGCTTAGTACATTGTATTGCCCTTTATGGAAAAATTAGGAATTTTCTGAATCTAAACACTTTTCCCTACAATGGTACATACAGTCTCCAACCAACCTAAACAAGACAAATAAAGCTCATAACACTGAACCTAACGTAAATATAACCAAAAAAATAAAAACTCTCAGCCTTAATCAGCCATATGGAAGTGTTCTATATGATGTTTAGTGTCCTCAAAATCGTAATTTGACTATTTACTGAAATCTTATCAAAAATCAAATCTTTTCACAAACCACTTTTCATTTTTTACTTCTCTCTGTAAAGATTATTCTCCTCGAAGGAGATGCAAAAACTAAAACTCTACAAAACTACCTTCAATTTTTATTTTTTTTACGACACCTCGACTATTTCACCGGGTGCCTGCTATCTCCCTCAGCGCAAGGTACCGGGTAACTCTGACCACACTACATTCAATTGTCTTATCCCAAAGACAACCAAGAACAATATAAAAATCAAATCTTGAGATTGACAATCTAATTTCACTTCCAATTTAAGCTAAATCTCAATTTCATTTCCACACCCACAAAGCTAATTAAAGGCAAAACTAAACCAAATTTACAGCAAACAAAAAAACCCAAATCAAAGAGAAACAATAGCAAAACACTGACCAGCTGTAACAGCACCACCAGGGGAATTAAGGTACATGTGAATAGGCTTAGAAGGGTTCTCAGATTCAACCAAAACTAAAAAAAGACAAATAAAGCTCGTAACACTGAACCTAATGTAAATATAACAACAAAAGAATCTCAACCTTAATCAGCCCATATGGAAGTGTTATATGTAATGTTTTCTGTCCTCAAAACAATAATTTGGCTATCTACTTATTCTTCTCAAGAATCAAATCTTTTCACAAGTCACTTTTCCGTTTTTACTTCTCTCTTTAAAGATTATATTACTTTAAGGAGATGCAAAAACTAAACCTCTACAAAAATACCTTCAATTGTTTTTCCTTAACGACAGTGGTGCTGGGGCTAATTTGGGGCACCTTGACTATCCCACGGGGTGCCTGCTACCTCCGTTAGCACAGATACCGGTAACTCTGTTGACACTACGTTCAATTGTTTTATCCCAAAGACAACCAAGAGCAAGATAAAAATCAAATCTTGACATTGAAAATCTATTTTCACTTCCAATTTAAGCTAAACCCCAATTTCATTTCCACAACCACAAAGTATATCAAACTAAAAAAAAAACCAAAATTTTACAAACAAACAAAAAAACCCAAATCAAATTTAGCTAAAAAGGAAGCCCAAATCAAAGAGAAACAAACAATTGCAGAAAAAACTAACCAGCTGTAACAGCGCCACCTGGAGAGTTGAGGTACATGTGAATAGGCTTAGAAGGGTTCTCAGATTCAAGAAAAAGGAGCTGAGCAACGACAACATGAGAAGTGGCATCATCAATGGGGCCATTAATGCAAACAATTCGTTCCTTTAATAGCCTTGAGAATATGTCATAAGCCCTTTCTCCTCTTGAAGAGTGCTCTATCACCATTGGTATTACCCCATAAAATCTCTTACTACTATTCAAAGGGGTTCCATTGATTCTCCGGTTCAAGAGTTTGTGAACAATTTGGGTGCGCATAGCTGAATGTGTTGAGAGTTGGGGATGAATCTTGGATGGAGAAAAGAAGGAAAATGGGAGGGGCAAGGTCAGAGGTTTTGTTGGATCGAATGGGGAGGAAATGTGATTCTTGAGTATGGTAAATTTAAAAGCAAATGACAAAACTCGTCCCTTATGTTTGGGGTGGTTCAAAATAGTCCCATAAATATACACTTTTAAGTAATTTTGGTCTCTTATCAAATGTACTCTCTCGTCTTGTATTATTTGTCGTGTTCCTCTTTTACATGCATTAGAACGGGTTCGAGTCGTGAAATCAGCAATCGATAGTTATATCATGGTAGGCTGCCTACTTACACCTTCTTAAGGTACGAACCTTCTCGAACTCTGCATGAACTCGAGATGTTTCGAGTTCCAGATTGCTATTTTGTTTCCTATTTTATTGGTCCTTAAGGAAATATTGATTAAAAGAGGGATTTTGATTATTTTATTTTTATTTATGTCTTACGATATAATGAATATTTACTATCTGATAATTCTTAGCTCTTTGCTTGAACAAGTTCTTTTTCCTCCTTTACTGACTTTCATTTGGTTGCTGACCATTGATTCTTTTCTTGGTTTCATACGAAAAAGAGATGGAATGCTACATGATTCTTGATTCTACTACTTAATATCTGGAAATTGTCCTGAATAAAGAAATGCATTTGTTTTCCATCTCCAAAGGAAGTTCGTTTATTTCCCTTGGGGAATTTAAGTTGCCCCAAGAAAAACTTCTTTAAGCTGTAAAGCAGAATTGTGTTAAAATTATACTATTAGAGAACACCATGAAAACACATGTATCAGGAAATATGAGGAAAACAAAGCAAGACAAACATAAATTGTCTTCCAACACAAATAAAAATGTATTAGCGTCACTATCCAATTTCAGAAACTAGTCGAAACTTCATTTTCCCTTTGTACAAACACAAATACAAGAAGAACATACGAAAAATGCTTGCTAGTAGAGTAAACGTGAGCTCTGTTTATGAAAAATGCTTGGGCCATATGTGGACATACATATATCCAGCAAAAGACGAAATTGCAAGGACTCAAAGAGGATTACTGGAATGAGTATCAACCCATTTTTCTGACCGAAAACGAGGTAAATTGAAGCACCAAATGCTATCATCAGAGATGTCATTGAAATAAACAGTGTACCGAGGCCTATAATTAATCGTTTTGGAAGAGATCTAAGAAAATCCATTTCTGCATATCTCGCTGTGAGGATAGACAAAAACATTAGCACAGAGGCAACAGAAGAGAATAGACAGAATGCAACCGAAACTGCAAAAACAGTGAAAGCCGGTTCTTTGGAGAAGATTGGGAAACCTTTGCTTTGATTTCCTCCTGGCACAGTGATGGCTGCTGCAAATCCTACCGTTGCTGTTAAGGCTGCCACAAATGTGCATGAATTTGCAGTTTCTTTCATCCATTTCTCTCCTTCTTTGACCAATTCCTTGTGTTCCTCAGTGAACACCATTTTTGGTGTTTTTCCATATGAGTTTCTATTTGTCCTCAAAGTTGGATGAACAAACTTTTCCACTTCCTGCATACACGTAAATGCATGTACTCATGTTAATGCAAGTGTTGAAGCAATCATAGAATTGGTCTTGAAAACCGGTATAGTTTTAACAAAGAACTATCGAGGGTTCGAATCCCTCTCTCCTTTTTTGCTAATTGAATAGAATGAAAAGGGTAGTCCGGTGCACTAAACTCCCGCTATGCGCAGGGTCTGGGGAAGGGCCGGACCACAAGGGTCTATTGTACACAGTCTTACCCTACATTTCTGCCAGAGGTTGGAGGTCACATGGCAGGAATTTTATTAATTAGCTCTCCTTCATAATTTACAGATAGAAGAATTTTAGATTATTTAGTTGTAAAGGCTTACTCCACAATAGATACTTCACAGGTTTATCTTTTACAATCATCCCATATGCTCAAACTCACCTCATCCATTTTGATAACATTATTTTCCCAGATTTTGTTGTCTCTCCTACTAATTTTCATACTTCCTCTGTTTTAATTTATTTGAAACCTATTTGACTGGGCAAGGAGTTTAAGAAAAAAAGAGAAGACTTTTGAAACTTGTGGTCTAAAATAATCCACAGATATTTGTGTGACTATATATCATCTTATGAAGGGTAAAAGGAGAGTTTTAAAGTTAAATTGTTTCCAAATTTAGAAAGGTTCATTCTTTTTTAAACTGACTAAAAAGGAAATATGTTAAATCTTTTTGAAACAAAGGAGTATTATTTTAATAAAGTTACTCAACCACATGATTCTTAAGCCATATTCAAAAACCTAAAGACGGGCATCTCGCTTGTCGCAAGCACTTACCTTAACTTACCTTCTCAACTTCCTATGAAAACACTACAACAATAATAACATATCCAGTGTATTCCCACAGTGTGGAGTCTGGGATTCCTTTGAAAACAATAAACAAAATTAATCCTAGCTGCATAAAGCTATATGGTGAAAACATAGAATGCCCCCCTTGTCAACTCCACCTATGAAATGCGAGTGTTGATGGTATTAAACAAGTACCCCTTGCACTAAGAGTAATGCAGAATAGGTCCGGTCGTCAAGCCAAGCCTAACTGAATTTGTTGTACTATTATCGAACTGAATCGAGTCCAACCAAGCTTCTACCAGACTGAGCTGAGGGTTCAACCAAGTTTTGCTACAATAGTACAATGTAATCGAGCTCGAGCCAACTCTTTATGTTCAGTTTCCTACTTATGCTACTATGCTTCTCGTATATCTGTTGAAATTCTCATTTACTTCAATTTAAGAAAAAAGTTCTCTTTTTCCCTTAGTTCATACATATTCCATGCCTCTTAATAAACCAAAGCACCAATATTTTTATGTTTCAATAAAGATCTTGAACCAAGTTATAATAGTGAAGCTCATACCTGGAACCATTGAAGTTCGCGCTGCATTTGCAAAGCTGCACCTGAGATAAGATTGAGTCGGCTAAGAGGTGCTAATTTTCCAGCCATATGTAATATATTGTTTCCTGAAGTGTCTTCATCAGTTATTACCAAATGATTATACAAACTTAACTGATATATGAGGTTAAACACCTTTTCATAACGATTTATTACTGCAAGGTGAAATAAGTTATGATTTTCAGAATTAACAAACCAAATTGCGTCTGAGTAGCAATCTTCAATTTCTTCTATGATTTCAGGAATTCCTGAACTTGCTGCCAACAGTACTGCCTTTCTGAGTACTGGCTCAATATTCTTAGCGTTATACTCTTTCATAAGCTCCTTGCAAAGACGTTCCACGATATCAAGAGTCTCTTTATGCATTAACTTTTTATCCTTAATGTGCTTGAATATTGCTGCTGTAAACAAGGAAACTTTATCAGAACATGAGAAGGAACTAACAAATGTTATAGAAAATACATATCAGAGGAATTACCATATATAATAATTTCCAAACAGAGGAAGTTATTACCCTTTTACAATTATTTTCCTCATATCATAGTCACTGCTGTTAATCATAATTATCATAGCAATAACGACAATAGTAATAATGTCTGAGAAGAGTTGTTACTATTGATTTTCTTGATACAAAGGCGAAAAAGGACACGTTAAACATAAATATTAAGGAAGTACTTACCTATATTAATCATCCTAGCAAGCCACATTTGAATTGTGATGACACAATTGTGTGGATACTTCACGAAACACTCCCATGTTAACTCATTAGCGGGCTGTGGCAATTCCATTGAGGGTGTTGTGACTGAGGGCTGATTTGCAACAAAGGACTTTTCAATGTCTGATAACCTGCTTTCTAAGTTTGCCTGTGAGACTTCACAAGAAAATACAAAGCAATGCTTAGAAGTACATGTTGTCACTTTGTTGTCTATCGTTCATCTTCTTTATTTATTCAATCTTGAATGTCCCATTATAGATTTTTTCCCTTCAAAATTACAGATTTGACTATCATCATTCTATAAAAACTACAAGTGCGGTATGGGAAAGGTAGTGTGTACGCACGCCTTACCCCTACCATGGGAGAACAGAGAGGTTATTTCCGATAGACCCTCGGCAGTAACAAAATGCAAAATATATTTTACTAATGCGAGTACGAGATATTAGCGTTGCGTAGTACTTGTTCTACTCTTGGTTTTCTTGCTATTTAAAATTCCTTAGTTCAGTACTAATTTGATTTTGTTACCAAAGGAGGAGATTGAGCTGAGTTCACCTAGGCTAGACCACCCAAATAGCCTTTTTTTCAGAACATAAGCAGAAGAAAATACTATTGCAGGTGATAATATGAACATAGTAGAAATATTACCAGAATAAAGTAAGCGCTGCCAAAAGGGGAGCTGAGTCCCACTCCGAAATGCAGAAGGTGTCTCAGCCATCAAACTCAGAAGCGATACATCACCCTTGTCACCATAAAACTCTGCCCGGGCCAAACCAGGAAAACGTCGAACCAGAGCTAGCAGCACATCTATTTTACACAAAAGAGATTCTCAAAAGATGAGTCGGTAAAATGGAGTATATCCCAATCAAAAGCAAAACCAATATATACAACACTCAATATTGATGCATAGGACCAGTATATACTACTAACTTACCGTAGAATTCGGCTACTACTAGCAGATGGAGAAAGGTGGAAGCAGCTGATTCTTTAGTTGGTGGGGAGTCTGCCATCTTTGTGGCCATATCCCCAATCAAAAGTAAAACCATCTCCTTATGGCCATATCTAGCAGCCTCTATGATCGGATACCGCCCAACAGTATCGTCGTCAGTCGCTCGCACACTCCGGATTTCCGTTTCGAGTTGCAGCAACTTCTTGGCTGCCTCCATGTTCCCAACCTTTGCAGCCACACAAAGAGGTGTATGACCATTGTTGTTACGAATAACCAATCCTTCTAATGCATAACTTTTCGGCTTACTTATCACAGAATCATACCACTTTCCAGCACCAACAAGTACGTGAAGGCCAGTATCCCCAGCTCTTGTTACCTTCCTACATATAGTCACATCTGGGGGAAATCTCGAGAGAGCTTTAGCTTCTTTTCCAAAAGCACTCTGGTTTTCTCTGAGTAATGCACGGTATAAAGGCAAGCATCTCCACAACTTCTTCTCCTCATTTATGTTCTCTGTTCAAAGTATAGCTAAATCATTCTCAATGAGCACAGAGGAAGTAATTGGGAAGGGGGTGTAGGCAGAGGCAGACCCAAGATTCATTACATTCAATATAAATCTATCACTGCTCATAAAAATTGGTATGATGACCTTTGTTAATATCTGACTATTTCTTGAAGAAATTAGCAAGTATATATGGAGTTTTTGCCGAAGTTTAAGGGTGCTGGTGACCCCTCTGCCTACAATGTAGGTCCTCCTCTGGGTGTAGGTGTTAGGATCGGAAATCCGGATTACAGAGCAACTATCATACGAGGAAGCTCCCATTGCTATACTAGATAGACAAGTTTGGAGATTAAGAACTAATGATGTAGATTTAGTTAAAGTACTTTGGATTAACAATAATGTGGAGGAGATGACTTGGGAAGCTGAAGAAGAAATAAAGACTGGGTATCCTTTTTTTTTCCCACTTCCGGAGGAGGATCAGACTGAGACATCACAGCCTTTAGGTATGTATATGGTACTTGATTCTTATGCTAGTTACTGTTATTTGTCGTGTGAGGCCATTGGTGTTATTGATGATTGTGGCCCTGTGTGGTTTTGTATTGTTGGGTTTTCTATGTGGCAAGTTAGTAGTAGTACCATTACAGAGGAGACTCTGCCAAAATTTCTATAGATTTCTGAGAGTTTAACATTCGAGGACGAATGTTTCTAAGGGGGAAGATTGTTACACCCTGTGCGTCCCAAGGTGACGTAATGAATATGAGACTTGTTAATCATGATTTAAATAATTTTAAAGTCATAATATGGCTATATATGATATTTGAATAGAAAATATGAAGTTTGAGAAAAATCGGATTAAAGTTGCGGAAACACCGACTAAGGATTTGCCATGTAATAGAGCTTTTTGAGAAATATATTTCGTGTGCTATATGAGGTCTTTTTAGGACATATTATATATCAAATTGAAGGTATTGGAATTTAGTTTCCAACGCACTTAACCGTTCATTCATACGACACCCAGATAAAAAGTTATAAGTGTTGGAAGAAGGGCCAATCAAAGGGTGCCAAGTATCACCTTTATGACTTTTAAAACAATTGGGATATTTGCATCCCATCTCGTCTTTTTCTCCAATTTTCCAAAGATCTCGCCCAAATAACACCCCTAACTTTACTCTTAAGCTCTCTATAAGAGCTTCAAACAATATTATCATCCCGGGCACGGAATCAAGAAGTGATAACATTAAAACAATCCCTACGATGTAAGTATCGCTATATCGCCTCTCTTTTTATTTGTGGTTTGAGTTTTGGAAGGTACTTCATAGTTAAGAAAACGTGTACTTTCTGTATTTAAGTGTTTAAATATCAAGTTGGGTCACCCTATATTGAGTATTTCCTCATGTTTTATTCTACTTATCTCACGACATCCTCTTCGGCTCAATTACTTATGATAGTATGATACGAAAGATGTGTTACGTTGGTACTCAGTTGAGTAAGGTACCTGGTGTCCGTCGCGGACCATCGGTTTGGGTCGTGACAACCAGAGAGATTGATGACTGAGTGAAGTCGATGGCCTGATTATGAGGATGTTTATGGGACCGGGTTACACGCTGCAATATATTTTGTTGATTTACGCCATGATTGGCTTATATTAGCGCTTGGGCAGGATCCGTCCCTCCGGAGTCTGACTTACTAGCAGTGAGTGCAGGTACCTACTGAGTGCGAGAGCCGAGAGAGAATGCCGAGTGACTGGGAGGGCGAGTGAATTGATACTCTGAGAGTGTGCATACGGTTTTATCATTGCGTTGCATTGCATTGCATTTGACATGCACATTTGACATACATGCATAGAGATACATTTTTCTCATTGTGTACGGTATTGTGTCATTCATGACTTCACATACACATTGACATGTAGGCATATAGATACACTTTCCTCATGCCATCTGTAAATGAAACATCTTACCTATTATTGAAAGTTTTTGAAAAAAATCACACTTTTTCAGATTTACTCATATTTTGGTGATTTCGATAAAACAATTGGGTTTTTTTACTGTTATACTTGAAAAGCATGCCTATTTTCCAGAACTGTAAACGAACTGAGCATTTTATCTTTGAGTTATTACCTGTACTGCTTTAGTTATATTGTTGTGAGTTGTTCCTGGCTATTGGTGTTAGAATCTAAACTTTGTCCAAGCTCGTCATTGCTTTCAACCTAAGGTTAGGTTTGTTACTTATTCAGTAAATGGGGTCGGTTGTACTCAGATTATACTTATGCGCATTGCGTGTAGATTTTGGATGCTGATGTTGCTGTGTATGGCGGGATTTGTCATTGAAAATGTACCTGTATTCCGGTCATAGCTGCCTTTTTGTTCTTAATAGCTTTAGAATTATTAATCTATTCATGTATATTTCAAACACATGATGTATTTATTTCATACCAACTTTGTAAACTCTAAATCTTAGAAGCTCGTAATTTGTACTACTAGTCCTTGGGAATTTTTTGTATAGAACTTCAGTTATTTTATCATTACTTCTCTTAATGAATCTCATTTGAATTGATTTATTGTTAATTGGCTTACCTAGCGGGTTGGGTTAGGTGTCATCACGACTAGTTGGATTTTGGGTCGTGACAATAACATTTTCATACAAATCACAATTGAAAGATAAGCAAGGATGAGAAAAATGTTATTCTACATTTAAAACAAAAAATACAAGTATTTTGCGACAGACTTAAGTTGTTCATTAAACAAAAGAAACGTTGTTGTGCTACATCCCTGAAGAAAAAAGGACAACACGATACAAAAATAAACGATAATGTATAGATCAAAATCTATCTTTAGAATACTTAAGTCAAAATAATATTGGTGGAGCGTTCCTAGTTGTCGCTTGTCGAAGTAATCTTAGAAACTGTGAAGTCCGTGGTTGAAGAATCAGCAAAGGATGAAGCCGAGGAGTCATCAAGGATCAAGGCAGAGGTTGAGCACCATTGACAGAGTTATAGCGGCTAGTTTCTAGATAGGACATAAAAGAGAATATTCTGGTGGAAATTCTCTACACTTGTACTGTTAGAGTTTTTAGGAACATGTTCCCTATAAATAGAAAGAGACACAATGATAGGGTACATGTGATATTCATTTGTAAAATACATTTTGACTTTAAGAGAGAGAATCAGATCTTATTACAAGCATACACAAACAAACTTTTCACTAAGATTCTTGTCCGTACTTTTCCTCTGGATCTGAGAATTACTCATATATTCAAATGCTTATCCATTACTCATCATTGTCAGAAGGAACATTCACTGATTTCATCCTTTCTTGAATAACTCATCCGTTCTATTTACATAAGTAACATTTCTTATTGTTCATCACTATTTAATGCTATATTACTTCTTTTGACTTCTTAAATATTGATTGTGTGCCGCCGTTGCTATTGAAAATATATCCTCGTATAATTTATTCCACTTTCGTGAATTTCATCTTTGGGATATTATTATTAACTAAGATTAATCCTCATTAGTATAAATTTAATTAGTTGAACCAAGATCTATATATTTTTCGGTCAAATAATTTGGCGTCGTCTGTGTTGATTTCTTAGTTAAGGTTTTAGTTTCCTCTAGATCTACAGCTAACGCAAGTCACTAACCACACAAACCCCGAGATCTTCTTTCTTTGTACGTACAAAAACCTACATGGCAGGTAACCAAGGAGAAAGGACAAAATAAGAAGTAATTTCCCTAGCAACCTCATGAACGCTATCAACGAGAGCTACGAAACAATAGGTAAGGACATGACGGCCAACACTTCCCCTAGGAGCGATATGTCACCTCCCCCCACTACAGCATAACAAAACCCAGTGGAAAAGGGGCCTCCATATCCGCAGTAGAAGGGACGCCCACAGCTGTAAACAAACTTCTCGAGGTATGGCTGACTGACATGCTAGTAAGCGTCCTCAACAAACCCTCTCCAGGAATGACTATAGAAACCGCAAAGAGCTTGCATCAGACGAGCAGTGCAACCGACCAAGCCCTCCGACAATAGGTATAACTCACAATATTACTAACAGTACATGTGACAACGCCTTCGTTGCCATTCTAAAGAGGATGGAAGCAATGGAATCACTCTGAGATGAGATGAAATAACACCAAGAATGAGTCGACAAGATACTGGGCACTCCTAGGTTGCTTCCAAAAAGGGACGCCGGTAGGTTCGTAGAGCAGCCATACAACAATGACACAACCCTGCATGCCATACCAAAAACCTTCAAAATGCCGCCCTACCTCAGGATATGCGATGGAACGACCAATCATGAGGATCATGTGACTCATTACATCACCGTCGTGAAAGGCAATGACCTCTCCAAGGAACAAATCTCCTCTATTTTGTTGAAGAAGTTTGGCGAAACCCTTAAGGGTGGGGAATTAACATGGTATTCACAACTACCAACCCGCTCCATAGAAATTTTTGAGGAAATGGCCGACAAGTTTGTAACTGCCAATGCCTTAGCCAAGAAGGCCAAAGCAAGAGTAAACGACATATTCGCTATCAAGAAGTCCTTGGGAGAGGGACTTTCTCGTCCTATTCAATAGAGTAAGGATGACTCTGCCGAACGTATCTGAAGGGATGGCGGTCGCAGCTTTCCAGAACGGGCTGAGTAGAGATGGTTCAAGAGCGACTAGAAAACTGTTGAGCCAATTAATGAAATATCCCCAACTACTTGGGACGAAACCCATAATGTTTATTACGCCGAGGTTCGAGTAGACGAAGACGACCTCAACGGACCAACTCACCGGCTAACATCGGTACAAACTGAATCCTGAAAGGAATGAAGAGACAACATCAGGAGGGATCACTGGGTCCTGATATCGAATAGGGAACAACACCAACCATATGTCAGGGCAGCCGCTACACCATCCCCTCGCTGTGAAGAAGGCCCATCCAAGCCAAGGAAAAGGACTCACATGAACGAAAGAGGTGATCCCCATTTATTATCTGCTCATAATATTTGTGTGTCAACTACAAAAATAGTCTACACTCTTGAGAAACACAGAACAAATGTGAAGTGGCCACCGAAGATGAGATCAGACCCGAACACCAAAATATCTGACGCCCTCTATGAGTACCACCAGGAACGCGGGCATAAAATAGAAGATTGCATCGCCCTCAGACAAGAAGTCATAAACATGTTACGACAAGGACACCTCAAAGAGCTTTTAAACGACAAGAGGAGAAAGAACTACACCAGAGGACGCGAACACCAAGGCATGCCGAAGCCGCCATCGCCAGCTCGTACTATCAATATGATCATTGGTGGCGGCAACGACGTCTCTATCAATGATGTGAAGTTTACCATATCTCACAAGCTCAAGCAGTCTATCACCCGCGAATGGTACGATGGACTCAAAGAAAGTATCATCTTCGATGAGTCGGATGCTGACGATTTGACATTTCCTCATAATGATGCCCTCGTTATTACTTTACGTATTTTAAATACCATGGTGGACGAGAAGTGGCACATGCATTATGCATCCCCAAGTCCTTACCCAAATGAGACTCGAGGATAAGATAGTGTTGTGTTATATCACGCTAACCGATTTTAATAATGTAGTTGAGTAGACATACGGGGAAATTAAACTCCCCGTCTTGGATGGCAGTGTGACTCTGGAGATGCCATTCCACATCATGGACAGGCCACTGCGTACAACGCCATAGTGGGATGACCATGGATACATCCTATGAGATCCATCCCCTCCATCATACAACAAGAAGAACGCTATTACAACAAGAAAGCAAAGGTTCGGCCGCTTAAAGTCAGGGACTATGTGCTGAAAGCCAAAACTCAAGCGAGCAAAACCCTCTGGGAAGGCAAGCTGGGAACAAACTGGGATGGTTCGTCCAAAATCATAGCTAAAGAAAACAAGGGCTTATTCCGACTAGATACAATAGAAGGAAAGCAACTATCAAACAATTGGAATACCAGCCACCTCAAATACTTCAACTTCTGAGAGAAAAAGTGTCCCCCAAGTCGTACTCTTTTTTCCTCACTTGAGTTTTGTCCAATTTGGGTTTTCTCAAAAAGGTTTTTAACGAGGCGGCGAAGGGAACACTTCTAGTCAAAATACGCAAGGGAGGGACCATTGTTATTCTTTCGTTGATCGACTCCTCAATACTCTCCAAGTTAAACAATGAAGGGACTAGGTAGCCTAGGACTGGGACGGGAACATCAGCCAACACCCAAAATTTGTAACTTTCTCCAAGTATGTAACCAAAGAAACAATGTCAAAGTAACAAGAAACTTGCGTTTATCAGGACACCTTTTTCGTATTAAGGTTATAATCAACCTCGCTCGAACAACACTTACTGGCCCCCCGGTCGCAATTTAACGAAAGGTTATGTTCGCCTAAGATCGAATAAACACCCACCGGCTCCCGGCCGTAATTTAACGAAAGGTTATGTTCGACTAAGCTAGAACAAACACCTATTGTCCCTCGACCACGATTTAACGAAAGGGTATGTTTGACCTCGCTCGAACAAACACCTATCGTCCCTCGGTCGTGATTTAACGAAAGATTATATTCGACTAAGCTCGAACAAACAACTACCGGCCCTCGACAGCGATTTAACGAAAGGGTATGTTCAACCTCGCTCGAACAAACACCTATCCGCCCTCGGCCATGATTTAATGAAAGGGTATGTTCGACCTAGCTCGAACAAACACCTATCGGCCCTCGGCTGCGATTTAATGAAAGGGTATGTTCTACCTCGCTCGAACAAACACCTATCGACCTACGACCATATCTCAATGAAGAAAGACACACGACCCATATAAACAAGGGGCTGGCATGACCCATGAATATTCAGCTCTAAAATCACAGCCAGCTAAAAGACAACAACAATAAGAAGAAAAATCGAAACTAGCAAACAACAGAATTTAAAAACTTACAAGTACAAAAAATAAACCACAAGAACAGAAGAAGATGCAAGGAACAACTTTGATATTTCATACTTAAATTATTTACAAAATCTCGTGAAGACGTCAGCAAAAATACACAAAAAGTCAGAAAGAAGACTACTGGTCATCGCCATTACGGCCTTTAGTGCCCTCTCCAGATCGGTCTTCAACAACGTCACCATTTTGACCATAAATACCCTCACCATATCGATCCCCCCCGCTATAGCCACCTTTGCCCTGAGGATAAGAGGTGTCATACCAAGCGTTCTCCTCAAGTCAGTTTACACCCTCATCCCCATCCTCCTCATCGGCCTGAGGCGTAGCGGGATCATATCCACAAGCAACTCGAGCTTCACGAGCCTTAACGCGAGCATTTTCAAGGGCAACCTCATAAATGGAACCCGTCACATGCAAATCTCTAAATATATCTAACTGGGTCATGGCATGAATCCATTCTTCATATAACTCTCGAGGTACATTAGGAAAATTTGGAATACGGGAAGAGGACGGTTGTGGAGTAATTGGGCCTTCTCGGACTCCAAAGCGGCCACTTGATCATGAAGAACGGAGTTATCTTTCTCCAGCTCTCCGATCCTCTCCTCGAGTCGATCTTCCTTAGGTCTCACTGTTGATTGATCGTACTCCCACTCGGCTCGTAGAGTCCTATTCGCCAATTCAAGAATCTCCGTCTTCCTCCGAGCATCCAAATGATAGGACTTCGCCTTCTCGAGCTCTTTTTGCTTCTCGACAATCTCACTATTGATGGCCTTCAGCTGAAGTTGACACTCTTCTAACTCCCTCGCAACTCGATCACTTGAGCTTGAATGTTACTATAATGGGCCTCCACGCCCCTGGTGACCTCTAGCTTCTCGTCCCTACTCCTCGACATCCCCTCGAGGATGATACACTTCTCGATAGCCCGCAACAGCTTATCATCCTTCTCTTTCAACTCGTCACGAAGGGCATGCATGTCGCCACCCTCACGAAAATGCATGCGAAGATCTCAATACTTGCCACGATACTCAAAGTACTATCCTTCAATTTTACAACGATGTATTTACGCTTATTCTCCCTCTAGGTGGTCTCGATCTCCAAGATTACCGTACGTAATCATAAAAAGGAAATAGAAAAAAGAAGTCATAACCAAGGACGCCCTGAAAATCAAAAAAGTAAGGTTGAAACACAAACACTCACCCTAAGAGCAAGGCTAGCAATACTCCTCGATAAAGCACCATCATCTATCTCTTTGGGGGTCTTACCCTCTATTTCAGAACAGAGAGGGCCGAGGGCAGGGACAACCTCCTCGGTGTTCACCAATAGGTAACGATCCATGGGGATCACGATAGTCCTCGTAGACCCCTCTACTCTTACCTCAAGTTGGGTAAGCCCCTCTTGTATCATCCTCAAGTAGTCCACATCAACGTTGGAACCTGATTAATCGCCCTCCTCAGCAATGCTTTTTCCCCTCTCAATGGCCGGCAAGGAGGTATCTGTAGTTGTTCGAGAGGTCAATGCTTCCTCTCATCGCGAAGTGTTAAGGACATCAGTAGCCATCCCTTCTGTCTCCATCACTGCAAAAGGAAGAGACACATCCATATCGGCTCCCACCGACCTCGGAACCTCGGTACTCATCTCAATATCATGTCCCGCAAGAATGGTCGCCATCTCATGCAGCAAAAAGTCCCCTTCTGCCGCATCAATGGACCGGGTGACTCCGTCACCAACATCCACAGACCTACTCTTTTAAGGCAGGAGATATCCATCACTAGCCAAAGGTTCATCATCTTCGTCGATGAGAGAATATAGAGGAGAAGCAGAAGTCTCCACGACCGAAGCGGTCACAAATTCGGACGCAACGACAAGGGGAACTAGAACGAAGATAGGATCAGTCGCGATCAAAACAAGGGCGAAAACTGAGGGCGTAGTGGCCTTACTCTTCCAGAATAAGGGTGTGGGAGCTTTCGACCTCCTCGTAGACCCCCTAGCCGAAGCTAAGGAAAAACATGAAAAGGGAAAATTAACATAGGAAAAAGAGAAAAGAAATCAAGATGCTGATGGTAAAAAGGAAATTACTAGTCGAAGGGAGAGCATGCCTGAATTTCTTGAAAAAACATGGCCATTCCCGAATCCCTACGATGTGAGGGAGGAGTCGCTTGACCCAGTCAGAAATATGAGCGTCCAAAGGAGGAAGCGAGGTCTTGGATGCAAAAGAAGAAGGCGAGAGGTCAAAATTTAGGACCGAACATGGGAGAGAAACCAAAGTACTTACGAATATAGTTCCAAGCCTCAGGAAAGTCGTTGAGATTGGCCACAATGTCCTCGGTTCTGACAAAAATAAAGTTAAACCAGAATTGATGACTGGCCTTGTTGTTCATTTTCACCACCAAGCATTTGTCCCCTCGGTGGCGAAGGTTAATCATCATTCCTCTATAAGAGCGAATAGATGAATTAAGTGTCGCAGTGTGAGTTCGACCTCGGCCAGCTCAGCAAACTTAATAAGCATATTTATAGCTTTATAGACATATGGCGCGAGCTGAGTAGGACAAATGTCGTAGTGACGACAGAACTCCTCTACCAACGGAAGA